CAATTATTCTACCCCATTCGCTTGCAATGAATGAGTGCTGCGTTCTACATTTTAAGTCCATTTTGTTTCTGGTTTTTACACATAATTCACAATGTTCGACATGGTCCAAAGAAGGTCTTTTTGAGTGTTTTTTATATTTGTATTTTTGTAATGAAGTGTAAGAAGGAGAAGGGGGTTGTAATTCGTTAAGGAATCAATAAAAGCGTTGCTATTTAAATGACTACTGCCTAATTCAGTTCTCCGAGAATATTATTGATGGATTTTCGGTTTAAATTGAACGATTCTCGGAACGGAAGATGGAGTCCCGCGCAGCACCGGTTATTCTCGTAACACGCTTCAGAGCAGAGATATTCCGGTTGCCTGTTTCAAAACGTCATCTTAGGCGATCCGTTTATTCCTGAAGATAATTTCTGTAAATACGGTTCGCCGCCGAGCGAAGGTGGTGATGAGAAGGAATCATTTATAATGGCGTCAGCGTTGGAACAATTTGTGAATAACGTGCGGACGCTATCGAAACAAGGTACGGCGGAGGTTCGGACCTCCCTGCACTCTCGTTTCCCTAACCTAAAAGAGTAATCCTACTGGATTATATATTAGAATGTCAGGATGATTCCCGATGATTTTTTAATCATTTATATTCGCTGAACATCCGTTCGGGATTTTTCTTATATTTTTCGGAGACGTACTACCCCTCGAGTCATCCTGATATTCGATTTATGTCACGTATATCTACCATCGTACAATGTATAGGAGAATTTGAGCCGTTTTTTTCGAATCCATTCATAATCTTCCGATAAACAGACTTTCTAATTGTATCAATGAGTAATTATGAAACCGAGGGTTGTTATTCGAATGTAAAATATTCATGGTGTCTGTTTAAAAAGTTCATTTAATTATTTTAAGTACATTTAGTCGTTTAAATAGATTTAAACATTAAAAAATATATTTTAGATCAATATCTTTTCTTTATTATTTAATTATTGAAGTATTACGTTCAACTTTTGGTGTTGAGAATAATTTTATGAATCATAAACAGTATTTATGATGTCTGAATATTTTATGTTCTTATAAATGCATAAAATCTGTAGCCTAGTTATTACAATTCCATTTTATATACCCTATAAAATTCTTTTAGAGATGTTAAGTGATGTTTGAAATATATAGAAAATAATGGTGTTGGTGTTCAGATGATCAGTTCAGAAACTAAGTTTTCTTGTTCTTGTTTTCGTTTTAAGTGATCGTTTTGTGTAGTAGTAATTGAGTTATACTAATAAATTTGAAGGTAAGTATTGCTTGATATCATTGTTACTAAATCAGGTAAACTATGATTAGTCGTAATGCTTATAATTTGGTCTGACAACGATGGTGGCAAGTACGAGTAATAATAGTTTCTTCATTATATAATCTATATTTGGGAATAAGATCCATGGATATTAGTAAAAGAAGAAGAATTTTTAATTCAGAAGTAGAAACTTTCAGTAACATTAGCTTAATAAATGTTTCCATTAGGGAAACGAGTTTCAATTTACGTAGTAATTCTGACGTGAACAGAAATGGGATCATTTACTATATAAATATATTGCTTTCGTCTTTTATAATTTGTGATACAGTGGTATGAGTCTAATTGTAGCTGAAAGAGTATAATTAAACCGCAGATTTATGCATTTATATATTATAAGTCTGACAAAATTATTTAAATATTCCAAAGTTTGACCGAATTGCAAAAATGGCGGCTCATTTATTTCCGACTGTATGGAAACTGCAAAATTGTACTACATAGAATTAAGTGATATTTTATGTATCGTATGCTACTGTTACGTTCCATAGGCAATTTTCGGGAACTGAAGGAAGAGATAATAACAAAAAACACCGACGTTCTTATTAAAAATGGACAACACTTAGATAATGTACTTGAAACCTTAAACCTCCAAGAGCATTCATTAGGAATCCTAGCCGTGCTCTGTGTGAAATTCACGCTGCTCAATTCGAATGGTACAACCAACGCCGATAGTTACAAGCCATTATTTAATCAGGTTCAAGAATTCATTATCGGTTGCAATGGAGAACAAGTCAGATTTGCTTCTGACATATGTGAGTTCTGTCTATCCTTCAAAGATAATATAAACACGAAACAAAGATGTATATAAACAGCAAAAATGTTCTGTTCTCTTTACGTTTCTAGATGCAGAACTGTGTCACTTGTTTACTCAAACGTTGGTCGAACTCCAAATACCTTTACGTGGCATCGAACTGTTGCGTAGGGCAATACGCAAAATACAATTATTCGACAGCCAGCTCACGTCGATCCACGCGGACCTCTGTCAGCTCTGTCTGCTGTCGAAGTGTCTCAAGCCGTCTCTAGAGTTCCTCGACATAGACGTCACTGGGATCAGTCAAGAGGAGGGCCAGTTCGACTCGAAATATTTTTTACTCTATTATTATTACGGTGGAATGATCTACACAGCGTTGAAGAACTACGACCGGGCGTTGTACTTCTTCGAGGTCTGCGTAACGACGCCCGCCATGGCGGTCAGTTACATCATGTTAGAGGCCTATAAAAAATACATTCTGGTCTCTCTGATACTGCACGGGAAAGTGTTGAATCTGCCGAGGTACACCAGTCAAGTAGTCAATAGGTACATCAAACCTCTCGGTCAACAGTATCAAGAACTGGCGAACGCCTACCAGATGAACAGCTGCGAGGAAGTGCAGAATATTATTACCAAATATCAACAACTTTTTACGAGAGACCACAACATGGGCCTCGTCAAACAAGTACTCAGTTATTTGTATAAGAAGAATATACAAAGGTTGACGAAAACCTTTTTGACTCTTAGCTTAAGCGATGTGGCGAGCAGAGTCCAATTGTCTGGACCTGCGGATGCCGAGAAATATATTTTAAACATGGTGAGGCTTATTTTTTCTCCCGAGAAATTCGATGTATCGTACGTACAGTCTGTGAATATTCGTAAATTTCAAAATTGGACGAATTTTAAGACTGTTATTCAATTTTGAAATACGTACGAATATTTATGGGCTTTACTATAAGTACGATGTACGAACGTTTTTTTTTTTTAAATTTCAGATAGAGGACGGAGAAATTTTCGCAACGATCAATCAAAAGGACGGAATGGTAGTATTCCATGACGATCCGGAGAAGTACAATTCGCCGGAAATGTTGGCGAAGTTAGAAAAGGAGATGGCAGCGTGTATGGAATTGGACAAACGTGTTCTCGAGATGGAGGAGGAGGTCGTCCTCACGCCGCAATACGTTCGGAAAGCTTGCGGGCAAAACGATCAGGACGACCAGACGGCTGGACCCGCTCCAACGAACGTAACGAATGTGCAGGGTCAATCCAAACATAACACCTATCCTATGTAACATACACACATCGTTGTGCGTTATCTTTATTAAAAAAAAAAAAAAAAGAAACGAAATCGAAAGGGAGAACGAATCTTGTCCAACGTGAAAACTCGAAATTCATAAGCCTGTTTTGGATGAGAACGAAATTTGGCTAGACATCGTCTATTTTGTATAGAATACAAAAATTATTATAATCATTATATCGAAACTAATAAAATATGATTTTTTAAAAAAAAAAGAAACTTATACACCGGACGCAGTGTAGAATGGGATTTAATATCATTTCCCCTGACATCCGAAACAGGCTTTGTATCCAAGAACTGGAGAGTGCATTGTACAATGTCATAGTTAGAACGTTGTGATACATAGCAAGAAAGAGACGATCACATTTACGATATAAAAGATTCGCGAACTGTACACGTTTGATGGGCATTTTCCAGGGAGTTCAATGATCGATCGATACAGATAATGCACCAACAGAACATGTACATATATATATTTCTAAAAATAAGGAAAATAACAGAACACGAATTTACTTATTATTTACGAAATGCTCAATGCACATTTGTGTCAGGTAAGTACAGAAAAATTTTCAACATCGCCAGAAATTGGCCCGTTTATATAAGAAACACACATCGAATTAATATTTATTACTGTAATTAGTTTATTTTTAAATGCTGTCTCGATTATTACAAAAGTTGAATCTTATAATATTTTATATTGTTCACGACTTTGTGTACGGAAAGACAGTTTCGTGGATATATATATTTATTTCTTAGCATTAAAACTCTTATGATTATCTACAGTAATGACTACTGGGTTCTAAGCTGAAAACAACTTCATGTATCTCCTCCTTGCTTTTCGATCCACTAATGAATATTAATTGTTAATTTTTTTCTTTCTTTCGTTAATTCTTCTTTGTGCTTTAAATATTCTCGAAGTACCTAGAGACGTTTATGATTATAGCAACGACGATTCAGTTCTAAGCTAGCTTCTTTTTGACGTTTGTAAAAATGGTTTCGAATATCTCATCCATGGTTTTTAACCCATCAATGAACATTATACTCTCGCAAAGATCTCTGTCTTTCGTCAATTCTTCCATGTACATCGAATACTCCGGCCATACGACTTTCTCGAAGTACCCAGGTACATCCGGCGGGTCGTAAACCCTTTTCTTTCTCCGCTGCCAGCAGTCCTCCTTCGTCAATGTTATGCAGTATTTAACATCGCATAAATTCGAAATAATCTTGTCCTTGAAAAGTATGAATCCTTCCAATATTAGAATATTTCTATCAGATTTCGCCGACAAATCATTACGTTCATCCGTGGAAGTCTTCATAATTTTGAAAATATCCGAACGCATTCTGTCCATGTCCATGCTGGTTATCACTTCCCAATTGAAGTGATTCAGCTCTTCTATTTTTATATGCCGCGGATCGTCCATTGGTAAGAAATAATCGTCTTGATGCAGGATCGTCGAATTCTTCAACTCCTTATGAAGTCGTTTGGCTATGGAAGTCTTCCCGCTGCTCGTAGCACCCGAAATACCAATCACCAGCCACTTTTTCGAAGGCATCGTAACTTCGTTTTCAAGTTGCACTTACGATAATAGCAATAGGTTAATTCTAACTTGTGGTGTACCATAAATTATCTAATTACGTCATCCATACTCTCCGGAGATAAAAAGTATGAGAGTATGTAACGAGTATTAGGCTTGTTTCTGATTTACACTTTGCGGCTCGTGACGTTTGTTCGGCTTGTAAGAAAAGTATGGTTTAACGTGGTAAATAGTGAACAATACTAATCCGCCGATGAAACATAAACCCGAGATCGCTGGTACCATTAATGCAATACCGTGGTGAGCGAAGAATGCTCGAACTCTATCGTTTTCAATGAACGGTAAACCGATCACAGATATAGTGTAATAGGAGAATAATATCGCAGTTACAATTAGTATCGCCTGACCCTTTTTACGATCGCTGTTAAACATTTCACGAACGATTTATAATAAATATGAAACATACAAATTGTCTTAGAGCTGTAATACAATTATTTTGTACTCTGATTATCAGTCGCAAATAATTAGGAAAGCGTTTCTCTTAAAATGCTATGAGCATATAATTTAATGGTATAGAAACGAATTATTGATCCACGTATTCCGCTTCGAACTTCTTGAAATCTTCTTCGGTGAACGCAGTCGCTTCTTCTTTCTTCTTCTTAGGCTTCGGTATATGTTTCTTCCTTACAGCTCTTTCCAATAACTGTTCAAGTATTTTCGTTAATAGCGTTTTCTCGTGGTTAAAATTTAGTATAATTCAATAACAAAAAGTGCTCGACCTTATTCGCTGTTTTCGGTTCGATGCATTTTTTGGAGAGCATCAAAAGTTTCCGAGCATTCTCATCGGTACGATTTTCGCACAAACTTAATCTTTTCTGTGCCTCGTAAACAGTTGTCCTGCCAGATCGTCCGAGGATCGTGAGTAAATCTAGAAAAATTGTATTTCGACTATGCTGATTCCATAGATAATATGAGAATAGACGAAAGGGAGATTTAAGAAATGAAAATGAATAGAAGAGTTTCTTTTTTGTTCTATTGCCATGTGAAGAAGAGACAATAATTCCTACAAAGCATGTTTTTTCTATTTTTTAAGTTATCAACAAAAAGTATGGACGCTCTATCCTCTTGTTTTCTGTTTCATGTCTGAGGCATTCGCTTTTATAACCTTTCAAATACATTATCATAAATACTAAACATTATTAAATACCTGTCTTGTCGTTTTTGGATATAATTCTATGCTTCGGGGGAATCAAATCCAGCGTGCCCTTATATTTAATTTGTTTCCTATTCTTCTTCCCTAAAAGCAAACAAAGAAAATACGGTTTAACAATAGTTCACAGAACCTATTCGAATGATAAACAAAATTCTACACCTTCTTTCACTCTTTTCTCGTATCCTAATAATTCAAGACTTTTTCGTACAAGCGAGTTTGACATATTTACGAGAATTGAATTCAGTACGCTGTTCGTTTGATGCGTAATAAACCACGTTTGGAAGCAGAAACATGAGGCAACGTCGGCAACGTGATTATCTGAAGGCTTAAAGGACGGAGCAGGACGGAGTGTAAACCGCTTTTATAGGTGAAGGAAAATGAAGCTTCATCCGAGGAGGGGGAATAGTCATGGAATGATCAAGTCGGCCATATTTTGGGAGCGACAAGTGGCACCGCCTGTCTGTACAACATATACAAATTTTACGCGCTTACAAGGCAGCGCCATTTGTCAGCCATGGCTGAGAACGAAGCCTACATGTCGTAAGATTGAAAAAGTTTGATACCTGCTTCAAATAAAAATTGTAGGCACTGACGTCGTCTACAAGAAAGATTCTATGCACTTTTCTTTTAACTTCGATATTTAACGAGTTAAGTATGGTTAATTCGCATTTTATAGGTCTTGAGAAAATCCAACCATTCCACTGTCGAATCAGCCAACTTTTAACAAAAAATTTCGTTTTTCGTCAATAACTCCCGAACGGATGGACGTAGGGGGGCGTATTTACGCTCATTTTGTAGGGGACGACGAGATCTACAATTTCTGTGCAAAAAGAATTCGCTAGTGTCAAAGGTTAACAAGTTATTTGCAAAAAACGAAAAACTGTTTTTTGCAATTTACTCGTAAACTATTGATGCTAGCGCAAAACTATTATATACGAATTGTAGATCTCGTCGTCCCCTACAAAATGAGTCTAAATACGCCCCCCTACGTCCACCCGTTCGGGAGTTATTGAGGAAAAACGAAAAGTCTTTTTAAAAGTTCGCTATTTCGACGGGCGAATTCGCCTTCAGATTCTTCAATTCGCCCGTCGAAATAGCGAACTTTTAAAAAGACTTTTCGTTTTTCCTCAATAACTCCCGAACGGATGGACGTAGGGGGGTCGTTAGGGTGCCTTTCTTGTAGAGGACGATCTGATCTACAAGAAAGGTCCTATGCACTTTTCGCGTATCTGCAAGGGTTTAGGAGTTATTGAGGAAAAACGAAATTTCACAAAATCTGAAGGAAATTCGACCATTTCACCGTCGAATTCAGCGAACTTTAGACAATACTTTTCCTTTTTCGCCAATAACTCCCGAACGGATGGACGTAGGAGGACGTATTTAGGCTCATTTTGTAGGGGACGACGAGATCTACAATTTCTGCGTAAAAAGAATTCGCTAGTGCCAATAGTTCACGAGTTATTTCCAAAAAACTGTTTTTCTGTTTTTTGCCAATAACTTCCAAACGGATGGACGTATTGGGGCGTTTAT